GCAAAACATTTGACGAATTTGCAAGACTCGTGGTTTAAAAACTTGAGATGGATAGGAGAATGCAACAACTACTCGGAAAATAGTTTCTGCAAGTTTATAATATATCGTGCAACATACTTTTGATTTAAGTAAAAATAAAAAAAATATATGAAGGTTAAAGTGAGAAAAAATCTAATTATCTATTTATCAAACTAACTAGCTTCAGAAATGATTTTGAAAATATATAAGTCATGTTTATGTACTCGTTACATTAATGTGTTGGGTACAGAGCTTGGATATTTCTCTCACGTTGCCTCTTACAAAAACAATTTTGTAACAGAACCTAGCTTAACTACTTTGGGGAACTCATTTCTCAAAGTCATTTATCAGTAACCATATTATTGAGCTATATCATAGAGAAAATGAAGAACCGGTCCCTTATAGAATGGTATAATGTAGCCTTAGTTGCTTGATTACTCTAGGCTTCTCCGTCGTTGCAGTTTAATGATTTTCGAGTACACCGAATTGGAGATAAGCTGAGACAACAGAATCTGAGAGATGCGGTTTCCATAGTAACAGATTCTGCGTCGTACGTGATGGCATGTGTTTTTACCCTGTTGTAGTGTGTTTAGTAATGGTGGCAACAGTCACACATTAAAAGGAAAAAAATCAATTTTGAGTGTAAGTGATCGCTTAAAATGAATTAGTATATGGAAAACAAACACTACACGTAAAAAGCAAGGCAAAGTTTATTGATAATTCACAAACAGTGCTTTTATTAATGTTTTGAGAATTTAAATATAGCTGGTGACGATTGTGATTTCTTTTGAATACGGCATGTTTGGTCGTAACCAAAGAACGTTGTTTTTTATTGTTTTCGGTTTATATACTTGTGAAACAAATGAAGGCTACTTTTAATACTGTGTTAAAAGAAAAACATTTCTCATTCATTTATCCAGCATCATAAAAAAATCGTCACAGAATCGTTAAATTAACCTTTTCTATACATGCAATCGGGAGTTGCGTCAAACCCCTATCAGTAAACAATCTCATTGCTGTAAATGAACTGGAACAAGGAGTAAATAACCTCATTTTAAGAGATGTAAAGCAAATACTCCCTTCGTATACACACACATAAACGGACAGTTATGTATATTTTCTAATGACAGATAACAAAGCCTTTTTAAGACACTTCTAAACAGCATGGTATACCAAACTACTTTTCAAAAAAATTAGCTAATTTAGTTTTCAAGCACGAAGTGAACATTGATATAGCTAAGAAAATATAGCAACCTCTGTATTTCGGAATAAAAACACTTATGGTGTAGATAGCTAAATACATGTATAGCACAGGACTTATCGTGGCTATAATGCTTCTATCGTGCCCTGTAAAATCCCATATTTACACTAATAACATTTTATTCCACTGTTCTAGAGAGATGAGTGATACACATGCATGACTAAAACATGAACTTATTTTCATTTACACTTATATATATATATGAATTATTTCATAGTTAAGCAACTCCTGCTTTTCTTTATAAGCTTGCATTAACCTCGTGAGCGATAAATTCCGATTAGTTGTTTTGTGATTATCATCCTATGAACAATTTTTCTTCTCTTGTTATTCTGGCCTGTTCATTAAATTGTTCTTCTAGTGTCCAGTTTTATGGTGTTTTTATATGTTGTGTTTTAGTCATAGTCGTTATTATCTCCCTGTTAATATTATCAATTTGTGACATAAAAATCATAATCCACTTTTGTGTCATGGATAATTGTCAGAAGATGTGACGATATTTTGCCACAAGTATCAAGCATAACAAGTAGCAGAAGCTGACAAAATCAATAAGCACAAAGGGAACAATGTCCACCTAACGTAAATAAACTGTGTTTGTATATCATGCTTTAGTTTTTTAATACATAATGTCTAAGCATATAAAAAATGATTGTATTCTACGGCAAACATATATATTATGCACACACACACACGTACATAGTATGTATTTTTTATAAGGTTTCAACAATGAACCGCAAGTATTATTTTCTTGTGCTATTCAGCTATATTTGATGCTTTGCTAAAAATTTTTTCAGAAAAGACGTTTTACTTTTAAATATTTATAAAAACATTGAAGACATTTATTTGTATATTTTAGTATTTACATTTAAGCACTATTCTTCCAAAAATAGTTGTTTTGTTTATTGTTTCAAATAATTCACACTACATCGCACAAGAGCTTACTGTGTTAGGGGGTCGTTCATTTTGAACTGACAGACTAGAGTGAAAGGCTGCTAGTTAACTGCACCCATCACTCTAATCGAGTAGTTGAATTTGACCGTCACACTTGTAACGCACTCCCGACCCAAAAAGAGGAGGACGTTTTTTTTTGTGCGACAACGGGGCCCAAACCATGAACCATAAGATTCACAGTCCGGCACGCTAACCACGTGATCACACACGACCCATGAAACATCTCAAAAAGTTGAAGACTCTCCTAGGAGATTTCAAACACAAACTGAATATTATCTTCATCATCAATGCTACTAAGAAGTATTAACAGTACGAAGAACATATAATTGTTGTTCCAGCTAACAGAATAGTCATAGCGTAATATTTCCACGTAACTTTTAAATAATTAACAAATACATTTTTAAAACATTGTATTGTATTGTATTCTACGGTAAACGTGTTTATTATGCACACACACACATATAGTATGTATTTTTTATAAGGTTTCAACAATGATCTGCAAGTATTATTTTCTTGTGTTATTCAGCTATATTTGAAGCTTGGGGTGATATAAGATAAATAACATTGACTGTAGCTGACAGTCTGAAAAAAATGTTCAGAAAAGACGTTTTGCTTCGAAATATTTATAAAGAAAATGAAGTATTTTATATATATATTAGTATTTACTTTTAAGCACTATTATTCTAGGATGCACATAATTAGCTAACGCAAAATTTGCAAAAAAACGTTCAGCATCAAAACCGACTAGTATTCAGAATTCCGTCCAGATGAAGCAATGGATTAGCGCTATAAGAAATACTAGTGAAGCATTTTTTTCTAATTTCTTTATTACGAACTAAATAGAGGCACCATTAAACGTAAAAGACTATATGTATTTCCAATAGATCAAATGAAATTATAGGATTATGTTTTGAACGGTATATAAAAAGGAAAACATTATTAAGTTTATGAAATACTTTAACGTTCTTAATTATTCTTAACATTCAATACGCATCATGTTGTATCATTCCGTTCAGATTTATGAAGATTATTTTTCTATTTCTGTAAATTATTTACGTATATTGTCTTCTAACACAATATGCTCGTCACTAGTGATGATAGCTCTTATTAGGCAGCAACACCTCTCAATACAGAGCTCAAGGCAAGATATTCATATCAGTGTCTCTGTTTGGAGAAAACCAATAAACTCACTATCACTTGAAACTTTTAATGTGTAGTGTATGTTCTAGCTTTTAGCTTCTTTAGGTTAAATGACTTAACATGGAATTAAGCATTAAATAGTTCGTAATAGTAGAGTGATAATGTAATTTAAACAGATCACCGGAATCTTTCGCAAGTAGTAACAAATATCGTCAACATTTCAACACTTCTTACTCTGATCTTCTACGTGTAAACTTATTATACACAATATGATGAAAAATAGTTGGCAACTCACAAAAAATTTTAGAAGCTTAGTAAATAACTTTTTTCGATTTTACAAAAGAGTAGAAGCTTAGTATATAGCCATTAAGAAAGGTACTTCGATTTTACAATCAGTTGGCATAATTTTATAATATGATTAACACTAACGAGTTAGATGATTAATGCGGGGTTTTATGTTAAATAGTAACTCAATCAATTCCATAGTATTTGGTGTTTCGTGTGAAATTGCAACTGACTCTTATTGAAAACGTCTTGGTGGTGAAGGCTTCTAGGGATCGATGTTCTTATTACAATAAAACAAAATGGAAACTTAAGTATACCTTTTGGAAGCCCGGTTTATTCTTACGAACGTCTCTTTCATTTTTTTAAGTCATTTGAGAACAAGGTAAAAGATAGGAGAAGTCTACAAGAATCTCTGTCACGAAGCTTGATCTATTCTGAACAGTCAAGTTGCACATTCTATAATTATTACTTGTTTACTTTTTCTACCTGCGCAAAGCCGACTTTAATTTTGAATTGACAGACTAAAGGGGAAGCTGCTAATTCACATGATATATCTCCATCTCATGAGCTACTCTTGTTTGATTGAATAGTGGTATTTTACACTCACTTTATAGCGCTCTTACGAACAAATGAATTTGATGGGTCAGAGGTAAATTTACGGACTTATAATACTAAAATCCGGGGTTCATTACCCCGCCATATTCAAAGCGCTAAAGCAAACATACGAACTACGACCTAAGGATGATCCACTTTAAGAATCAATCCGCAAGCGAAAACTCTTGTACTTTTAGGTTTTATTTCAAAGTTATACAATTTTCTGTTTTAAATGCTCGGCTTGAATATTTTAAAGAAGGCAGAAAAATGTAAGTTTTAGAAATGTTTTACATGAAAATCTGGCTTTAGAATAAAACAATAATTATCTAATTAGATGTGTCAACTTTGGTATTGATGCGTTAACAAAACAATATAATACGATTTTGTTCAACTGACGAGATTCGGAGTATTGGTATATTAAAAATTATTTCAGTCAGACATTAACCAAAATTAATTATGGGATTATTAATGGGCCGTATTTTTCTGTCATTTTGCATACGATTTTTATGTTAATCTCTAATATTTAAAAAACAATTAATAAATAATAATTAAATAATATGAAAAAATGATGACATAGAAATTAAGATTTATAATACTTTCAGAAAGGCAGGAACTTACAGTAAATGTGGTAAATATTCCTGTTTTTCTGTACCTCAAAATTATTATTCAATTATCACTTCTTTTATAAAACGGCGCTTTTTTTACATTCTGTAATTACATTCTCGAATAATGTGATCTAATTGTTTGTGTCATTATGCTTGGAGATGGTGAATGTGTCTTTTGGTCTATAGTTATTGGAGAAGAACATTTTCTTAGGTAAAAGAGTAAATTTTCATTCCATAATTTCTCCATATCTTTATACCTTACTCTATACACTTCTCTCTTTCTCTCAAGCTGTGATGAGCACAGAACAGAGAACCATTGTGTAGCTTTGTGCTTGAAACAAAAAAACTCTTTCTCAAATATTTCCTCTCTGAAGAATTTCGTGTATTTAAAACTTCTTCAGAGAAACTACTCTAAACATTAGAAAGTTTTACCAAAGTGTAAAATACTATGAAATAGTAAGTGTTCAATTTCACATTCGGTTTTTAGTTTTAGACAAAGCTTTGTTGGGTACAAAGAAATATTCACCTCTTGTGGCTTAAATGTATATTTTATAATTGTGTTATCTGATAGAAAATATTAAAGATATTAAAGTAACGAATTAAAATGTTATGCTATTTCTAGATATTTATTTTCATCCTACATTGGCTGGTTATCATAATATCTTTAAGCAACCTACAGAAGGTTGAGAATTTTATATTAAAACTATTTTGAATACATTAGATCTACATTTTATATTGTTTGGCGTTTCGTAGGTATTTTGATGATACCAAAACTTTATCGCTTTTAGGAAGGATATGTAAAAAATCCTTTCAGACGCAGAATGCTCACACTCTCAAAGCATAAATGTGTTTAGATCGAGGATATCTCTTGTACTTAATGATGTAAAAAACAAAAGAATATGAATCATATTCGGGTACCAGAACCATCTAAAAAAGAGACCTGCAACAAGTCGTACCCGAAGCGTGGTAGAGAAAATGTGGGGTCTTATAACAGGTGAAAATGCACAAACACAAAATTCAGTGGCAAAAATCGTTCACTTGTCCTAGCCAACAGTACACAGCATAATCATGAAGGATCTCAGTTTAGAAAAGCGAAACAAGTCAAATGTACACAAGTTGCTTCCACGATATATCCGTTCAAATGTCGCATACCTCAAGCATCGAGAGAATGAAACGAGTATTCATGCTATGTGATAGGAACACACATTCGTCAAGTCGCCAGACCTGTCATTTTAGAGACGTTTTATATTGATATTTACGCAGAGTTTTTTGCTTATGTGATTCACGCCAAGTGATTAAGTACAGCACATTTGAAAGGCAGTTTGATGGCGAAATCTGCAACAATCAAAACGAAATATCAAACTTGCGTTCACACATAAAAACCTTTTAGCTTCTTTACAATTAGCTATTGAAAGTTCAACGTAAGCAGATAATTACAAACCAGAATTATAATAATTATAATAATTTGACTTTTGTTGTTTAAGTACATTCTCTGGTTTCAAGGGACACAACTTATCATTAGTAACCCTTAGTAAAGGTCGTTAGACCAGTATTTCAAACAGTGCTTGTTCTTTGTTTTTTGTTTGTTTTCTGTATCGGCTAGCCAAAGTTAGTGATGTTGGATGGTATTCTTCAAAACTGGCCCGATCTAAGTTAATAAATGGGAATATGACAGAGATCAGAAATAGGTGAAAAATATATAAGAAATAGCTCTGTAGTGTCTTGTGGAATGTGTTGAGAATTTGATTCGTAGCAGAATTGCTACTTGTACCGTAGGGTATCTTGCGATCGGAAAAGACATCGAAAATCGATATTTTGAACTTTGAGTAAAAACGAGTACAAGGCATAATATCAGCACTAAGGTATGAATAAATGTTATGAATAACGTCAAAAGACTTTTACAATTTTTAAACTATAATTGGAGATATTTTTACAGTTCACTGCCTGCTAAATTCTAACGTGACTTAGTTGTCCTTTACAATAAGTGACGGGAAATATAACCGTCAATTCTTTCATAACATATTATCTTGATTTTTTGGTAAAACTCCTGATTGGTAGAAAAATATTATGAACAAAATACGGCACATTATTTATAACTTCCTACAAATATAAAGCACCTGTTAGGATAACTAAACACATCTCTGATATGTTTAGCACTAGCACTTTAGTTGACTAACCATACAAGTTTGCATGAATATAATCTGAGCTCCCCTCATCTTACAATGAATGAAGCTCGCGTTTCAATCCATTATAAAACAAACACAAGATTGATATTACAGATATTTTGAAACTGCTTATTACATAAACTAAAAGTATGTACATTAATCTCCAATCAAATTATTCTGAAGTAATAACAGATTAACCCTCTTTCTACTTATCTAACCATCCTTTTTCTTACAAACAGCTCGTGTCTTTTAATTACAGATTTCCTGCTTGTCTGTCAAAAACAAAAATAACTTCCAATAATTGTCTGATCTAAAAGTCTTTAATCATGACTTAAATGCCGATATAAGAATATTACCTTTATTCTGTGTTATAACAGGAAGAGAGCTGTATTAGATTGTATTTTAGTAATATCCATATTTTAGGAACAAGTATTATTTGTTAGAAAGTTATGTTCGGAATAATATTCTGTTTTACTAGTAATATTATCTGCTCACAAACTGTACTGGGAATAATAGTCCGTTTTGTACAAACAATATTATATTATAGGAAACGGTTGATGGAAATTCGAGCCATTTTTTAAAAATAGGGTTATCTATTGACGGAAATAAGGTACTACTTATTGTCAAAGTATTATGTTATAAAATGCTACTGATAGTGCGATTCTATCCTTGGATTGTTGTTGTTTGAAGTTAAGCACAAAGCTACACAATGGGCTATCTGTGCTCTGCCCACCACGAGTATCAAAACCCGGTTTCTAGCGTTGTAAGTCCGCAGACATACCGCTGTGCCACTGGGGGGGGCTATTCTTGGAGCAGCAGTATGTATTAGGAAGAGATATACATATAATAATATATGTCTTTTTTTTCTGTTAAGTAGTGACGTTACAACTATGATCCCCTTTTTTAGGAGCAGGGTTATTTATTAGGAAGTGATGCTGGATACATGATTTTATTTAAGGAACTGGACTATCTATTAAGACGTGATGCTAAATATATGAATCTATTTTAAGTACAGGCTCATGTATTAGGAAATGATGCAGGAAATATGACCCTTTTTTAAGAGCAGGATTATTTATTAGGAAGTGATGCTGGATACATGATTTTATTTAAGAAACTGGACTATCTATTAAGACTTGATGCTAAATATATGAATCTATTTTAAGTACAGGCTCGTGTATTAGGAAATGATGCAGGAAATATGACCCTTTTTTAAGAGCAGGGTTATTTATTAGGAAGTGATGCTGGATACGTGATTTTATTTAAGGAACTGGACTATCTATTAAGACGTGAAGCTAGATAATGAATCTATTTAAAGTACAGGCTCATGTATTAGGAAATTATGCAGGAAATATGATCCTTTTTTAAAAGATGATTCTCTGCGTGAGTACACAGTCATTACAAAAGACTTCTTTCATTTATCTTAATCTTTGTCTGTCGGTGAATTTTGTTTTCTAATTTTTATATAAATTAATCTCTCTTTTTATCAGATATGGATCTATATACCTATCTGTTCAGCATGCTGTTTGTCCGTGCATTTATTTATTTTCTCATTATTTGTCTATTAATATCTATGCTAAACTACAACAAAAATGGTTAAAATCGCTTTAAAGAAAAACAAGATCAAGTGGTCAGCGTTTTGGCCGCATAATCTTCATCGGAGATCGTTTTAACTGAAACGTAAACTGCTTAATTAACTTTATCTTACAGTGATTTTAACCATTTATTTGTTTTCTCACGTGATTTGATCATATGGTAAATGCATTTTCGTGTTATTTGTTTAGAATTGTATTTGTTTAATCACTTGTGACTGTAATCCTTATAATCATTCTATCTCAATTTGAGTTTTATAAGCCTAAAAACACGTTATATATATATATTCAATAATACGCATCAATGTTGTTATTGTCAAGTGACAATGTTACACTGTCTTATGAAACTTTATATTTTACTGTTTCTGAAATAAATTAAATTCAGTAATTTTTATCGTTGGTGCAATGCCGTAGAAAATATGAGTTTCTTTGTTTTGGCATGCTAACAACTGAACGCTTTCGAATAATTAAATCAACCACTTTGATACGTCCCCCAAACATAGACTTCAGGTCCCATTTAAGCCTGCAAACGGTTAAATGTGCCGAGTAAAATACTTATAGCAAGGTAAAGTTTCTGTGAAAACACTAATCCATTAAGCTTCTTCATTTTATAATTACTTGCCTCATTTGACTTTTTTCTAAATCTGTTATGACACGTTCACGCTAAAATGTTTACCAAGGAAAATACGGGCGTGAGGAAAACACATCACCAAATAGCTTGTAGTGGAGATTTACATTTACCTTTGCTAGTCGTTGTAAACTACGCTTTCCCTGGGTGGTCATTGAATTTATAATAGACTTAGGTTATTTTTAGAACGTAGAACGTGTCGTACAAAAGTAGGCAGTGTCAGTGAGGAAGGATGGCGGACAGAATCCAGCCTGATTTACAGTGTAAATATTTAAATGAAGGCGTCAATATAGTAGACTAGTCTGGCAAACTAACAGTTATCGGAACTGCTGGTATTTTTCAAGAAATTCGGAAACCACGGATAACTATTTCTGTATTTGTTTTATACTTGGGTTCGGATCTGCATTTCGTTCAAAATACTACTGACAACGGTCTATTTCTATATATACCTGCCCAAACTTTCGCAAATCATATAAGTATACATATATAAACGATTGGAAATAGCGACTACTTGCGGACTACATTACTTGAGTGCTTACTTTATATTGGCTTTCCATGGTTGATGTATTAGCTTAAAATTGATAAAGTTATAAATATGAATAAACAGGTTTAGCAAAGAAGGTTAAATTCGTTTTTTTCTCAGATTGATAATTTTTGTTTTAATGTTATTTAGTTATTTTTATATCTTCAAGAATTAATTAAATTTATGGGCGGAGCGTTGTCTAATGGTTAGTGTGCTTGGCTGTGAATCAAAAAAGCCCAAAATTTGTGCCACGATGCAGCTGAACACGTTCCGCACTTTCTGCTATGTGTATGTGCGTTATAAGAC